TAGTCTCAATATAATAGGAGTGCTGAAAGAGTTGCAAGTAAGAAACTACTATAAATTCGACAACTAGAGCCTAGTAAATTGTTGCATTCGATGCAACTTAGGTAAACGTTTAGATACGTTAGTTCCTTAAAGAAATAGGGGTAGTTCCTAGCAACAGTTATCCAATAATTGTTATTGTGATTATACCGGTGCGTTTGCACAAGCTAAGGAACCAAGATGCAAAGTAAGGAACTAGAAAATACCTATGTGCTATCATGTTTTTGATAACAAATAGCAAGAGGAGAAGTTGCAATAGAATGCCTTCCCATAGAGGACAATTTGGCTGGTCCATTCACCAAACCTTTGAGATGCGAGAAACATACTAGATTTTTGAGAGTCTAGATGTTAGACGCATCGGTGATTGGCACTAGGCCAAGTGGGAGATTGTTAGTATATATGTCCTAGCGACAATCACTTTTTAGAGAAATGTGTACTTGATCACATTCAGTTTTATATATTTGATATATACGGTACTACACATTGATGATTAAGTATTTCGATTGTCAATATCTTATTCATAATTGTGTTCCCTTGGACTTATGTTGTCAATAAGTAAGTGAGAGCTTATATGATGTAACATAAGGTCCTAAAATAGCCCCAATCAATGATCATCAAGAATGGGATATTGATGATATGCGATAAGATTGGTATGTGGACTGCATCATACTTTTAGAATGTATAGTTGATCTCACGACTATGAGTTCCTTAATTCATGATGGTCACATAGATATTTTAGAGAATATTGGCATACCCACCGAGAAACCATTTGATAAGTTCTATTCATGTGTCTATGGGATTATCGGCGTATAGAGTAGTGTAATAGTCCTCCGACTTGAGGTCAATGCGTACTACATGTGCGGAGTGATGTACTTTGACCATGACCAATGCTTGCACTCCAATCGGGGTAGATACGGCATGTGTTGGGTGCATCACGAAGCATATGGAGTAGTAGTTGAGCCAAGAAAGGATTCATTCCTCACAATAGATTAAGAGAGAACATTCTACTTCTCATATCTAGATGGATCATAAAGTCATTGGTCAATGCAAAGATATATTCGTTTTGGATATCGAATATGATCGTTATGGATCAACTAGAAAGATTGAGAGACAGAGACTGAGTTATTGGGATAGACACTATATCATGTTCTAGACTTAGTTGAATGTTCGTTGAATGAAAGGACCGTATCACTATGAGCTCTATATTACAGGGAGTTTGAATAGTCCTCGCAAACGTCCTTATATATTAAGTTTGTCTGGTAAATCGTCTAGGGATTCTACTAAGACCTTAATTTGATTAGTGCTTAATATATAAGGCCCTATGGGTCACACAACAAGTGATTATACCTTCCGATTGATTTGTTATAAGGAATTAAATATTATTAATTGAATCAAATAATATTTAATTAGTAATACTGAAAATGGATTAAATATTAATTAGATTAAACATATTTAATTCATGAAGCTGAAGGAGAGTTCTATTTGATAGAATTAATTAAGTAAAATAAATTAGATTTATTATACTTAATTAAGATGTATATATAATTAAATAAAGTTGGTATTTTCTTTTAATACAATTGGAATTAGATTAAAAGAAAATTCAAAATAATAATAAATAATATAATAATAATAATATATGGAGTAAAGGTAGGGTAGCCGCTAAAGCCACTCCCTAGCCTTTCTCTTATTGTTATTTTATTATTATTATTTATTATTTATATTATTTAATTAATATTTAATTAATAAATGAAATAAAATAAATAAAATAATGAGGGTGTAAAGTGGCGTGCAGTCCACTTCCCCCTTATTATTAATTAGTTTGTTTTATTTGTTTATTTAATTAAATAAATCAAATTTGGTCCTAATTGGATTAGAACTCGTTAATGAGAAAGACTTTCATTGTGATTGGGAAACTAGTTTAGAACTAGTATAAATACATTCTCCCCTTCATAATTTATAGACCAGTTTTTCCAGATTCAGTATTACCAGTTTATTTCCCTTCGAAGAGATTTCCTACCCTTTCTCTATGGGAGATCTAACCGTTCTTTCGGAAAGGAGAAATCGCGTGGATACCTAAGGTCAAGGATTATTACCGCTAGGCTGGAAGATCTGTAAGTTCTAACTCAGATCTGTTATTATTATCATATTCGTTGTTTTGTCATAATCAGGGAAGATCTGTTTGGGAAAATTTTAAACTTCCGCTGCTGTACTTTCGAGGTACGTTATATGAATTCCCTAATAGTCACCCAGTTCTCCGGGCTTCTGGATCATATTCTGAGTAGACCTTTTCCTGGTCGATGAGGGGATGGCCGAAGAGGGGATGGCCGACGAGGTCACCAGTTCTCCGGGCTTCTGGATCATATTCTGGGTGGCCTTCTTTCTGGCCGATGAGGGCATGGCCGATGAGAGCATGGCCGACGAGGTCACCCGGTGATCGTGGTACCTTCTATTCTTCTGAGTATGTGGGTCCTGGGGCCTAGACCCATATACTCCATCAATATTAAAGTGTGGTGTGTTGTCATATCCGGACACATGATTTTTGAATTTGTGTAACATGGTCACTATTGATCGGACTACAGAGAACATCATATATATTTTTTATGCACACAAAAGAAATGTTCAATTGTTCATGATCTGCTAAAAATTTGACTTCATAATTCTTTTATTTTAAATACTTGCAAATCATTTTTCCTATTTGCAAGTAGCTTGGACCTTTCTTTTACTCTTTTAAGCAGCAGCTATGTTTATGAAAATTTTGATAAATTGAAACAATCCAATAGATAAAGGAATTGTATTGGGCTATGTATAAGAATTATAATTTTAATAAACAACAACAACATCCAAGCCTTAATCCCAAAAGAATTTGGGGTCGGCTAACATGAATCGATCTATAAATAAGGCGGACAAGAAAAGGAAAAAAAGTAAGATAAAATGAATAAAATAAAGATACATAAATATAAGATAATAATAACACAAGAATATAACCAAGATAAAAGAAAAATAAATAAAAGAACATAAAAAGCTAGAAGATAAAAATAACATAAGAATATAAAAAGATAAGGAAGATAAACGATAAAAGAAACAAGAGAGGAAAGGTAGACAAGACATCAATCGTCCACATGGATGTGCGCCCTCCACTTTGCTCTCTCCAAAGCCATACTCTCATCCAACCCAATAAAAAAATGGAAGCAATAAAAAACGAGCTAGAAGCTTTGTTATTGCTTTGCTAAAGTATAAGTCGAACTGGTTACAATTTGTGCTTTACAATCTCAGACCTATGGCATTTATAAAGAATGGGTAGACTTGTTTCCTATCATTTTGCCCATTGAACAAGTAGAAATACTATAATATTGCAGCTTCTTAGAACTTGTCTGTCGTTAGACGATATGTCCCCCGTCCGACGATTTCAATCATCTCGTCTAGTCTATCTCGTCAAGGAAGTGACAACAATATGTAAAAGAAAATAATAAACTAAAAAAAAAGAAACAACTTCAAGGGTACCATATTGCAGCTCCTCATAACATGTCTATCATCAGACGATATTACCCCCATCCGACGATTTCAATCATCTCGTCTGGTCTACCTTATCATAGCATGATGATTTGTTCCTCGGGTCTTGAATAAGGTTAACCATGCTTGTAATCATGCCTCATGGGAGATTTCGGTTTCCCATGCCCCCCCATACTCAATTCGTCTGCGATGAGATCGTAATTCTTCTTCTAGACGGCTGAAAGTCAACGCCTTCGTTTGGACATCTTCAAAAGATTGACAAGGGTATTTCGTCAGTTCGCGATACAACTTCGAGTCTGCATATAAATCTCTTCTAAATGCTTCAATGGTGGTATATATGGATGTCACACTCTGGGATCGACACCTATCTTTTGTTGAATTTGTACAAATAATCCTTGAGGGGTTTACCACGCCTCTGTGTGACTTGATAAAGGTCACTGATCCGTCTTCCCAATACCCTATTGCTCACGAACTGTCGGTTGAAAAGATTGACGAGTTCGGCAAACGAATTGATGCCCCCATTCGGAAGATTCACGAACCATGTCAAAGTAGGACCCAGACAATGTCATGTCGAATCCCCGACACATACATGCCTCTATCTGTTCAGGTCCAACAAAGAAGGTTGGCATCATTTGCTTATATCGCGCGACATGTTCTCCGGTATTTGTGATTACGCCAAATGGCTCCATGTTTGGTACATCGAATTTATTCAACAGTTCAACATGGGGTGATTGAACCGTCAAAAGGAGAACGTCATAACACGTTTGAGACACCATTTCAAGTGGAGGTAGAACTTCAGGAATTGCATTGATCCTTTCCTGTATTTGTCGTATTAGTGCGAATATCACTCCCATGGGAGTATTGGCACCGTTCATCGAACGACTAACAGTTGTCATTTTAAAACCGACTGTCTGAGGACATTCTGGTTTAGTCTGAACGACTCCGACGACTTCATGATTCCATCGATTATGAGTGGGAATGGGCATAATGCAAGGTTTCGAAAAGGACGAAATTGCATGGGATGTAGAAAGGTTTTGGGTGACGAGTTGCGGATTTAAAGGTCTATTCCCAACACTAAGAGAAGTCGGACAATGGCACCTTGTAATAGTGTCAACCTATGAAGCACGGATACTTCCCTGGGGTAGCGTATCAGCGTATCGGATACGTTCCCGTATCCGATACTCTAGGATACCCGTACCGTACGTTCCCGGGCCGTATCTGTAAATTTTAAAAGTTTCCATTTTTTTTGTAATTTTTTGAAAGTTTCCGATACTCGTATCCTGACGGATACCCGTATCAACTTTTTTGAAAAAAAAAACCAAAATTTACTTAATAAAATTCTAAAAAAAATGAAAATCTAAAACTACATTTTATTAATTTTATTATATAAAATTTTGACAAGCCCATGCTCTCTATTTAGATACATGATTTGGCCCAATTGCCCAAGTCCAATATGCTAGTAAAAATGTAAAATTAGGTAATCCTGCCTCATCCTCTTCGCAAGCAACTAAACAGAGCAAGCCGCTGCGGACTTGCGGAGTGCGGACAATGCTGAAAAGCTGAAGGGAGCCGTCTATCCGTCGCCTACTATCAGCTACGCCGTCATCCTCCGTCTACATATCAGCTACGCCGTCCTTTGCCGTCGTCCTCTGTCTAAAACTAGGTAATCCTCCGTCATCCTCTTCTAATTTATTTCTTTGAAATCAACCTTTAATACAATAGTTGAGTTCTTTCATACAAGCATATACATGAAGAATTCGTATTAGTGAACAGTTATGGCTTATGGATAGTAGATTAATGGTTCAGTGAATTGGATTTTTAGGATTTTTAGGCATCCTAGCATGAGAAAAAAATAAGCCTGAGAGCTTGAACATTTCTGAATTTATGTAAATGTGGTAAGTTGGTATTTGTTCATAACAATCTTCGTCTTTTATCACGAGCTTCTAAGCAATATACGAATGACAAAAGTAAAATGTGGGATGTTGGTGGAGATGATTTTGGGAGCATGGAGGATATAGGAGTACTTGAGTTTGCCAACCTCTCCATAGATGAACCAGAATTGGAGGCCGTTTTTTTGGAAGATGATATTATTCCTGGAAATTAATATTTCCAGTGAAAATATGTATTAGAAGTTAGAACTTTTAAAATATTGTTTTCTATCTTAAGTATTTTGAGATGCACTAGTGTATATGAGAAATATTATGATGTATATGTAATGAATGGGTATATATGTGTATATAGGAATATAGGATATATATATATATACATATCCAAAAAAAATTAATTTTTTTTGTATATTTCATAGGATATTATATGTATATATTTCCAAAAAAAAATCTATTTTTAATATTTATAAATACACCCCTGTAACTTTTAATATTTGTAAATACACCCCCATAACTTTTAATATTTATAAATATGGCCCCGTATCCGTATCCTACTTTTTTTTGTTTTGCCGTATCGCCGTACCCGTGTCCGCGTTTCCGCGATCCCGCGTACCGGTATCGGTGCTACATAGGTGTCAACAATTGTAGATATTGGATGAAAGGAGTGTGAGGCATAACTTGGGATACCACCAGAGACTCTGGTTGATTGAATGAGGACAATCCTAGGATTAGTGAGATGACGTCGCTGGTGGTCGGAATTGGATCCGTCATGACAGTGACAGGTTTCAGGTCCAGACTCGTCACAACAGCTATTATGTCGCTTCTCTTGGAATTCAATTCCTAGAGTTGGAAGCTATGAAGGCGGTGGTCTGGACTTGCGATTTTAGGAGGTTGTTTTCCTCTTGAATGTAAGCAATTTTTAACGCTATTTTCCGCTTCATTTCTTGCTTCACCGCCTCTATTTGCTTTTGACTTACAGCATTATAGTTGAGCTTTGATCTTCCATGAATGATAAATTATCTTCCACGGGCTCCACGGTGGGCGCCAACCTGTTTAGGCAATTTTTGGTAAATTGAAACAATCAAATAGATGTAGGAATTTTATTGGGCTACTTATAAGAAATACTACCTCCGTCCCTTAAAACTTTGCCAAAGTTGACCGGTACGGAGAATAATAAAGTAAAAAATGTGTACTTGAGATTTGTGCAGAGGAAAAAGAAATAACAGAAACCACAAAATAATTGATTAAAAGGGAAAGTGGCAATGTTTTTTGGGACGTCCCAAAAAGGAAAGATGACAAAGTTTTAAGGGACGGAGAGAGTATAATTTTAATATGTGAAAGAAATAAAAATGGAAGCAATAAAAATAGAGCTAGGAGCTTTTTATTGATTTGCTAAAGTATAAGTCAAAGTGGTTAGAATGTATGCTTTACAATCGCATGTTTATACTATCCTTTTGCGGATTGAACAAGTAGCCTCTGATTGTTCAACATCTTTATTAATTATGCAAAGACAATTAAAACGTTGTTTTAATTCTTGTCCCAACAAACTCCTTCCAAAAAATCTTTTGATCTTAGATATTAATTAGGTAATTGATTAATTAATTAATTAATTAAAGGATATAGATATTAAAAATTATTGGCCCAATGAGATTAAGTCTGACCCAGTGCCAGGCTGCAGCCCATTGCCTAAAGTGAGGAACTTCCCGTAACCCAACCCGGCAATCCCGTTCGTGACTTCGGCCAGTCGCAGTCCCGCAGCCTCGCACGCAGCACGTGGCACCGGCCTTACGCCACCGCATCTCCGCACGCTGCGTGGAAGTTTGCTTCTCACAATCTCACTTTTCAGCTTGTGGCCTTGTGGGAGTTCTGGCTGAGTGGCTGCCTTCCGTAGCTCCACTAATCGCCCAGCCCCAGGGAACAGGGAGCAGGTAAGTCATAAACTTATAACTCAGAAGTGTATTCATTTAAAAAAAATTAATTTAAGTAGCTAATAGCTTGAAATCTTGATTCTTGAGAATGTAAACTGTAAGTTTCTTCAAGTTTTGCTGAATAATATTCATCATCGTGTGATTTCATTGGTAAAATTGGAAATTAGGATTGTGATTTTAACATACTAATATGATTAATGTGATTGAAAATGATATAGTGATTATTTTATCAATGGTTATCATTCTAATTAGTTATGGACTTACGGCTACCCATTCTACATCTAAAAAGGCAAAAACCACACGTCATTGTTTTTTAAGTCTTCTACCAATACAAAAAACAGATAACAGTCAAATGACTTGATATGAACCTTATCTATTTCACCCGTTGAAGAGGAATTAGGTTCTGTTGCGGTTGAAATTGGCCGTTAAAGAAAACAGATGAAATCAGACTATCTCATTCAATGCTTTCACCATATCAATCAAAACCCAAATTTTACAAAGGCTGAGTTAAAGAACATCGTGTTCAGTGAACATTTTAGTTTCATATATTGTATGTACTTTAAAATATTGGTATGAATTTAAATGGATTTTAACCATTATGTTCGAATTATTTACTTGTTTAAGGTTTTTACATATTTTTTTTAGTTTACAACCGCCCCTGTGAACCTCCGTCGTGACTACGTTCCTGTCTCCCTCATTGATGCTTTTCTTTTTGGTTTATAGGTTTGAATTTATTCACTCTAAAATGAAGAAAAGAAATACTGAGTTTGTGTTTCTTACTTTTGATCTTGTTAGAAAGTGCTCTACTTTTTCTTCTTTTATAAAATGGTTGACAATGGGATACTTTAGGCGCTTCAAGAACTCCTTGGGTTGCGCCAAGAGTGTGGGTAAATGTTTAATTGTTACTTCTGCCCAAGTTCACAATTAAAGATGCTCGACTGGACTGATTGAGTCTCAGACCAGACCACATGAGACTTGACATAAGCATACGATACAATACCAGAACAAAAATTTGATCAAGGCTTAGATGATAGTATAATACCCACAATACCAACTTCACTGAATTAGGCCTGAAATTTCAGTACAAGTGAAAATATCCTATTTTGAATTTGAGGAAAATATCATTGTTTAGTCTACATCTAGAAGCACTTTTCTGGAACGATCAAATATTGAATATTGATGATATATTAAATCATTAAATCATACTCCGCATTCCTAATCTGATTATATAGGAAACAAATACTACAGATGACGTTATCCAGACAAACTCTGAAGGGTCACACATACAAGGGAATATTTTAAAAAATTAACACACATCATTAATCACTACCCGTAATTCAAATCAATCTAGTAATGCGGACTCTCGTACTTCTCTCTGACTTGCACAAATCGTTTACCCAAAATAAAGTAAACATGTAAAAACAATAGAGTTTAAACTAACTAACATTAGTAGAAACATATTAGCTAGGAATAACCCAAAAAGCTCTGTGCATCCAACCATGTCACCTCGCCTCATGTAACACCAAAAGAACACATTGACTTGCTACAAATACAACGACCAACTGCCACCCAGGTCCACGAAAGATCCCAGGAAAGACATGAAATAAAGATTCCCTAAAAAATACAACAAAACTCCTTGAACCCCACCCAACTTTTCCAAACATCTCCATCTCCTCCTTTGAATAGAAAATTTTCAGTTAACTCGTGACTGTCTTGAGTCTTCCACGTCGAACAACGTTCTTTGAAGTTTGAACCATCAAGTTTCCACCTCACATAATTATAATCTTCACTCAAATTTCTCTGCCTTGATGTCTACCCCTAAACACAATTGTTAAGTATCTATCTGGAATTCGTGAGGATTGCGACAGAAAAGAGAATAGAGATGAACAGATTTGTTATTCAATCAACAGAAAAGAGAGAGAAAGTGCCAGACAGTTAAAGAGATGTCAACTCTCCAGTCCCAGCCAACTACCAAATTACAGCCTGCCTTATTTCTCCTGTAGCTATCTATTTATAGAAGTCTACCGACCCCTTATTACAACTCCCAGCTACTTATTATTCCCTTTCCTTCTGGAATACACTTTGTCATAATAGCTAATACTATTATTATTATTATCAATAGGCTGACTTCCTGTAGCTCTAACATCACTCCCCCCTGGAACTACCACCTTGTCCTCAAGGTGGAAGTCAGGAAATTGCTTCTCAAACTGTTGCAGCTCCTCCCACGAATCCTCAAACTCTGGCATATTTTTCCACTGCACCAACACTTCAGTTTTTCCACTTGAGTTAATTCTGCTTTCCTTAACTTCTTCTGGCCAGACCTGTAGTTCCCATTCTTCTGAAAGACACTTGGGTAAAGGTTGTGTCTGTGCAGCAGTAGATACTGTTTTCTTTAATAGGGATACATGGAACACTGGATGGACTCTACAATCTTCAGGCAGCTTCAGTTTATAGGCCACAGGGTTGATTTTCTCAATGATTTCAAAAGGCCCATAAAATCTAGGGCTCAACTTCTGATTACTTCTTCTGGCTAAAGTCTTTAACTTGTAGGGCTGAATCTTCAGATATACCCTTTCCCCTACAGTCAGCTGAACATCCCTTCTCTTCTTATCAGCCTGTTGCTTCATTCGGTTTTGTGCACTAGCCAAATTGTTTTTCAGTTCCTCTAACATCTCATTCCTTTCCGCTGTTAGTCTATCCACCTCCTCCACAGCAGTTAAGGCCACATCTCCCCTGATCAGCACTGGTGGATCCTGTCCATAGAGTGCCTTGTAGGGGCTGGTCTTAGTAGATACATGGTAGTTGGTGTTATACCAAAACTCAGCCCAAGGTAGCCACTTGGGCCACTGCTTGGGTTTCATCCCAGTCATACATCTGAGGTAAGTTTCCACACATTTGTTAACTACCTCAGTTTGCCCATCTGTCTGGGGATGATATGCAGTGCTATATTTGAGTTTGGTTCCAGCTAACCTGAATAATTCAGTCCAAAATGAGCTGAGGAAGACACTGTCTCTGTCTGAAACTATGGTTTTTGGAAAACCATGCAATCTAACCACTTCTTGTAAGAATATCTCTGCCACTCCTTTAGCATTATATGGATGTGATAATGCTAGGAAATGAGCATACTTTGTCAACCTATCCACCACCACAAGAATAGTGTCTTTCCCATTTGCTTTTGGCAATCCTCCAATAAAGTCCATGCTCAAATCAGTCCAAATCATATTAGGAATAGGCAAGGGCTGTAGCAACCCTGCTGGACTCAATGTTTGATGCTTATTCCTCTGGCAAACTTCACAATTTTGAACATAACTTTGAATGTCCTTCCTCATCCCCTCCCAATAGAAAAGATTTGAAATTCTTTTCATGGTTTTGAAGCTTCCTGCATGCCCTCCTACTGCTGATTCATGAAATTCTTTTAGGATAGAGGACCTTCTATCTGAATTTTTAGGAATAACCAATCTGTTTTTGTAATAAAGCAACCCTCTCTGTACTTTGAAATCTGGCACTGCTTCCGGCTGTCCCCAAAGTCTTTTAATGATTTCTTTATACTTGTCATCCTCCAAGATTTCATTCTCCAAACCCTCCCACTCCTGACAGGTTATGACTGAGAGAGAGTAGAATTCTTTCTTTCTGGAAAGAGCATCTGCAGCTTTATTCTCTCTTCCCGGTTTATATTTAATGACAAAATTAAATCCCAAGAGTTTAGTGACCCACTTTTGCTGCTCCTCCCCCAATAATCTCTGTTCTGTTAAAAACCTTAGACTCTTTTGGTCTGTATGCACCTCAAATCTTCTTCCCAACAAATAAGATCTCCACTTCTGTATAGCCAGTACAATTGCCATTAGTTCTCTCTCATAAACTGATTTATTTTGATTCCGGATGGATATGATTTTACTCATGTAGGCTATAGGTCTCCCTTCCTGCATCAATACTGCCCCCACTCCTTTTCCAGAAGCATCTGCTTCTATGACAAAAGTTTTGCTGAAATCTGGAATCTGTAGAACTGACAGTCTGGTCATAGCTTGCTTTAGCTCTTCAAATGCCTCTTTTGCCTCTTGTGTCCAATGGAATCCATCTTTCTTCAATAGGTTGTTGAGGAGTGCTGCTATTTTTCCATACCCCTTAACAAACCTTCTGTAATAGCCTGTGAGTCCCAAAAATCCCCTCAGTCCCTTAGCATTATTAGGTCTCTCACAATATAACATATCCTGTACCTTGCTGGGATCTGCCTCCACACCTTTTCCAGATATAATATGGCCTAAATAGGTCAGTTTTCCTTGTCCAAATTCACACTTCTTTTGATTTACCACCAGTTGATTATCCTTCAAGGTTTTCAGCACTTTCCTGACTTGCTCAATGTGTTCCTCCTCTGTCTGGCTGTAGATCAATATGTCGTCAAAAAATACCAACACAAACTTCCTCAAATATGGTCTCAATACTTTGTTCATCAAGGCTTGAAAAGTAGAGGGAGCATTGGTGAGACCAAAAGGCATTACTATGTATTCATAGTGACCTTCATGTGTCCTGATAGCTGTTTTGTGAATATCTTCTTCTTTCACCCTGATTTGATGGTAACCAGACTTCAAGTCTAATTTAGAAAAAATCTGTGCTCCCCCCAGTTCATCTAAGAGCTCTTCTATCATAGGAATAGGGAATTTATCAGGAACTGTGATTTTATTTAGGGCTCGGTAATCTCCACAAAATCTCCAGCCCCCATCCTTTTTCTTCACCATGAGCACAGGACTACTATAGGGACTGGTACTAGGCCTGATAATGCCTGTTTTTAACAATTCCTGCACAATTTTTTCTATCTCATTCTTCTGATACTGCGGATATCTGTAAGGTCTAATATTTGGAGGATTCTCACCTTCTTTGATAGTAATGGCATGGTCACATTCTCTTTTTGGAGGTAAACCAGTTGGGGGTTGGAAAACCTCAGCAAACTCTGTGATCACTTCCTGCACCCAAGGTTCATCTTTTCCTTCTTCCCTCTTGCTTTCAGACACTGCACTGCTAAACAAACAATATCCTCCTTTCTGCTCTTGCATGGTTTTAATGATTGATTTAAAAGATGCTTGATTTCTGCTGAGATTAGTATCTCCCTGAAGCTTCATCCCTTTACCTTTTTCCTTCCATTTGATAGTTAGCTGGTTGAAATTAAATTCAACATTTCCCAAACTTGCTAACCATTCCAGTCCCAGAACCATCTCAATTTTCCCCAGCTCTAAGATATAAAAGTCTTGAATAATGTCAGTTTGCTGTATGTTAAGAGAAACAGCTTCACACCTCCCATTATTTCTGATTATGTCTCCATTCCCTATCTCAACCTTGAATTCTGGAATCTGGAGGACAGGTAATCCTGCTGCTTGAACCACCTGGTGTGATATAAAGTTGTGGGTGGCCCCACAGTCAATCAGAATGATGACGGTTTTATCTCCCTTGCTACTCCTTAACCTTCCCTTCAATTTAAAAGTCTTAGGAGTGGTGATACCTTCCTTGCTCATAAGAGATAGCTGCATATTACTGAAGTCTGTTTCTTCCAATGGGGAGGCAGGTTCTATAGCATTACTCCCCAATTCCTCCTCCTCCTCCTCAGATTCATCTAACATGATGATCTGAAAGTGTTTCATCTTACATATATGATCTTTACCCCATTTTTCTCCACACTTGAAACAGAGGCCCTTTCTACTCAACTCCTGTAATTCAGATTGAGACAATCTTTGTGTTCCCCTTACTGCAGCACCTTTATTGCTCAAATCAATGTTCTTCTCCATGGCAGACTTATCTAAATTAGTCTGGTTACCCAAACTGCTCTTCCACTTGTTCTCATTTAACCATCTGTGAGAGTTTGTTGAAATATTCACCCTCTCCTTCAATCCTCTTTTATCATCCTCCTTGTACCTGCTTATATTCAAAGTCTGATTCCTCTCTTCAACCATTAAAGCCTTATCCATTAATTCTGCAAGAGTTTTAACAGGGTTAAGCTTCAATTCAGCTCTGATTTCAGGCTTCAACCCTTTCAGAAATATTCCCTTCAGAATCTTCACATCAGTATGTTTCAGAGGAGCTACAATCAGTTCAAATTGCTCTCTATAGTCCATCGCACTACCTGTTTGCGTAATACTCAATAAAGGACCATACGGATCCTGTAACAGTCCAGGTTGAAATCTACGAATCAAATCATCTTTAAACTGTTCCCAACTTCTTACATTAGAATGTTCCTCCCACCATTGAAACCAGTTTAAAGCCTTTTCTTCCATAGCCAGAGTAATCAATTCAACCTTATCATCTTCTGCTATCCGATTCATTTTAAAAAATCTTTCCACTTTAATAGTCCATCCGTATGCATCCTGACCATTGAAAAGTGGTAAATCTACTTTCCGACCAGATTTCTTAATCCAATTGCTGTAATCGTCCTCGCGCCTAGAAGATGAAGAGCGATGATTACCTTCAGACGAATAGGAGTCGCGACTATCATCCCTCACGCGTCTCCTGATCGTTTTTGACCTTCCTCGTGAATCGCGATCGTTACGCTGCAAAATCAGCTCGCGTAATTCTTCGCTGTCACGTTTTGCTTCCTCGCGATTTTTTTCCAGCTCGCGCTCCAGATTTTCCAGCCTTGCTTCCATCGTCCCCCTTGTAGCAACCATGTACCGGTAGCAGAATCACTGCTCTGATACCAAATGTTAAGTATCTATCTGGAATTCGTGAGGATTGCGACAGAAAAGAGAATAGAGATGAACGGATTTGTTATTCAATCAACAGAAAAGAGAGAGAAAGTGCCAGACAGTTAAAGAGATGTCAACTCTCCAGTCCCAGCCAACTACCAAATTACAGCCTGCCTTATTTCTCCTGTAGCTATCTATTTATAGAAGTCTACCCGACCCCTTATTACAACTCCCAGCTACTTATTATTCCCTTTCCTTCTGGAATACACTTTGTCATAATAGCTAATACTATTATTATTATTATTATTATTATCAATAGGCTGACTTCCTGTAGCTCTAACAACAATCAACATCCACCATCACCAATCTCCATATCTGCCATCAAAACAAGTAAGCTCAACAAAAGATTATTAAGGTACAAGTGCGTAGGTGAGTGATTCAAAACGCGTTTTAACCTTTTTAAAACTGACATTAAGATGTTGCTGCTGTTGTCATGTGTTTTCTTAAAAAACAGCTGCTTGAAGTTTGTACTGTTTAGTTGTAGCTAACATGCTTGTCATAGTATTGTTTGGTCCAAGCCAAAACTGTCTTCATTACATAAAGTGATCTTCTAGTCTATTCTTTGGCATGGTTACATAGCCGATGTGTTCTGATTACTTAACATCCCAACTTATCACGTGTGATTTTACCTGCAGTTATGGTAGGGCTATCTCTTGGAGAAAAAAACTTCATTAGAGGTGGTATTGCTCAAGACTTGCGAACAGATGGCAGGACACGATTATCTTATCGACCCATTTATGTTGAAAATAGTGTCATCCCCCAGGTAATGTGTCTTATTTTTCTCAAATTTACATAGAGTAGTTTTTCAATCTGTTTCATTTGATTATATTTTTTTAGCCACAAATGGTACCTAAAACATGATTTCATAACTTGTTGATTCTTTGAAAGGCAAGTGGTTCGGCTAGAGTCAAGTTGGGTGCAACAGATGTCATCGTCAGTGTCAAGGTATTTAGTTAAACTTAACATGCATAACTTTCTCTCTTTATCCTTCCATTTACATAAATGTGACATGTGAGTCAAAGTCAAATAGGGATTATTTCTGAAATTTTTCTGAGGTAACAGTTTTTGTGAATATTGCCTTTATGTTGTCTGTTAATTTCCTATTTGTAGGCTGAACTTGGAAAACCAAGCCCATCTCACCCGGACAAGGGAAGAGTTTCTATATATGTAGATTGCAGTCCCACTGCAGAGCCAACATTTGAGGTTGCATACATCTATTAGATTAACTTTGAATGAATCTTATAATAATAACTTGTGTTGTGCTATGTTCCAATGCTACTAGTGCCTTGTTTAATTTTTCAAATTTCAATATGGTATAAACAATCATTTTTGTAATATGAATCCTGTTGTCATATGTATCATATTATTTATTTTGCTACCATGATATTTATACTACTCAGATGTTTAAAATAGAGCCAACATCTGCTTCAGTGGATTTGTTCTCCCATTCTTCTCAATGTCATGTTTGTCCATTGCGGTAACATTTCCTGCAGGGAAGAGGTGGCGATGAGTTGTCTGCAGAACTGTCAATTGCCCTTCAACAATGCCTGCTTGGTGGAAAAAGTGGTGCAGGGGCTGCAATTGATCTTTCTTCCCTCTCAGTTGTGCACGGAAAAGTTTGTTGGGATCTATACATAGACGGCCTGGTGGTAAGTTCAGATGGGAATATACTTGATGCTCTCGGTGCTGCTATTAAGGTATAAAACTTATTCTTCTATTGTGAAGTGTTCTTTGTAAAAGATATTCCATATTGGTCTAACAAGTATTCGGTCATTCCCACTTTTGGTCTCCAATTGTTGTTATCCTACATTGGGTCCCATGGGTCGCGGTTTACCACTTTTAGTCTTCGATTATTGTGTCAATGACACCTTTGCCACTCGTTTTTGAAATTTAATTTCTAGTACATTGATGATGTAACAGAGACACTTTTAGTAGTTAGCACACATGTTTTACTTTTTTCACTTATAATTTTCCGGCTATCTTGAAAGTGACTTCCGGTACTCATATTTGAATTTTGTCGCATAGGTGGAGGACTAAAAGTGTAACTATGATAATAATAGGAGCCTTGGGACCAAAGTGTCTCTTTAAGAGTAAGTGGACTATAGAGTGGCATAAACTCTGCAACTATAGATGTTTTGTCACTTATGGTCCTGATTACTTAACTGGTCAAATCGTGATTAACTTTTGCAGTTTTGCTGGATAAGTTGTTGGAAATGACCAAAGTGGCAAAAATCATAGTCATGCTCCATAAGTTAAAAAAATGACCACTATAATAATAACAATGGTCTAATGTGATACGACCAAAAATGGAATTTCTTTTCTTTTGTATACCAAAACTGACTTTTTGATCAATCTAAATAATCACAATGTTTTATGTAAAAGTGTTGCCTTGAGCTGCTTAACGGTCTTCACCATGTAAACAGTTTATTTGAATAGTTGTTTTGCTCTTGCAGGCTGCCTTGAGTAATACATGTATTCCAAGAGTCCAAGTTTCTGCTGATGCTTCACCAAATGAACAACCAGAAGTTGATGTGAGTGATGAAGAATTTGTTCAGTTTGACACTAGTAGTGTCCCTGTCATAGTCACTTTGACAAAGGTAAACTAGAATTGTTATTCATGCTACTTTCAAATTTTGTTTGTATTACTGAAAAATTAATAGGTGGATATGAATCTGTCACTTGGAGCAGGTAGGTAGGTTCTGTATTGTAGATGCCACTTCAGAAGAGGAATCCCAAATGAGCTCAGCTGTGTCCATTTCAGTTAATAGGAAAGGTCATATTTGCGGGGTGAGTAAACGAGGTGGTGCGGCTTTAGATCCAGCTGACATACTTGACATGATACACAAAGCACAGGTTGTGGGTGATGAGTTAGTCAACAAATTGGATTCTCTGATAGCAGCAGCTGAAGCACGAGGAGAAGAGGAATCTGAATCATGACATTGTTCATTTTTGCACAATTTTTAGATAGTGACTTACTTCTTTTGGCAACTATCGTTTTTGTCATGGGGCATAATTCAAACTGTTGTTTGGATCTAGCTTACAGTTGTATCATTTTTCTTCAACTGTTGTATTTCAGCTGTGTCATTATCGGTTCTTTCCTAGATAAGGTTTTGTGGGACGTATGCCGTTTTTGTTCCTTATGAGAAACGGCGTTTTGCATCGTGTATACAATGCCTTGTCAATTTTGTGAAATCATCCCCACCGTGAATTTCGCTCCAATTTGAAGGCCGAGAGAGGTATGTGAAGGCCATGACATTAAAATAGACTACAAGTCTACAATGAAGGATGCCCTTAAAGAAGAGGATAACCTTTGTCGGAGTTTCCGTTGATCAGGTAGGTATATGGATGACGACGATTTGTCATTTATGATAGATGTTACAATCGGCCCGCTACTGTACGGGCCCGGATCGGCCCGGTGAACCGGTTGGTTGGCCGGTTCGGGCCACCCGGCCCGGTGGGATGGCGGTTCAGGCTCGGGCCCTTCAAAAGGTGAACCGGCCCGGCCGGTTCGGGCTTGGGCCGGGTCAATTTTTTATTTTTTATTTTTGATTTTTTTTAAGTTTTTGGGTTGGGCTGGGTATTTTGGGCCATTTGAGGTGGTTAGGGTTGGTTTGGGGGTGAGGGGGAGGGTTGGGGGTTAACTAGGAAAAGCCAAAAAAAAAAAAAAATAGAACCCAGGCTCGGCCTGGCCCGGCCCGGACTCGGGGGTTACCCGGGCCGGTTCCGGGCCTCCTCTTCATGAACAGAGGCTCGGCCGGGCCCGAACCGGAATCGGTCCATCCCTTATTTAGCTTGATACTTCTCCAGGGTGAAAATGTCTATCACTCTCAACTAACGTCATTTCTATTACTCCCCGCATTTAAAAATTTGCTACACTTTTCTATTTGAGATATATTTAAAAGTTTGATACATTTTCCTTTTTCGATAAAATTTTCCTTCACAAATACCCAACTACCGTTACTTTTATTTTTATTTTTTATCTTTATTTCATACTTTTTCACCTTCTCTTCTACTTTTTCTACATTATTCATTATTCATACTATTTTTCCTTAAGAATTTTGTCAAAACCTCTTTTAAATATGGAGGGAGTATTTCCCTCTTTGCTCTAACTAATGTGTTTGTTTTGAAAAAGTTTGCTAATAAAATACATTTATTATATTTTATGAAAAAATGTTTGTCAATGACAATAGCACGTTGCATTTGTTGAAGGTAAATCCTGAATGATCCGAAGGTCCAACACCAACCTTGGATCTAGGGTTTATTTGTTACAGTAAAGTGTATAGGAAATATAAAAACTGATTGATTCACTCAAATAGCCCGGCTTGTATTAAGGAAGTAATGACAATTACACAGAAATGATCGAACGACAGTTACCGTCCAAAAGTTAATACAAGAGCTAGAATGCCTATAGAGCTAGTGAGTAAACAAATCTTAATACTACTTGTGAAATAAGTATGGGGTCATTGGGGTGCTCCAAGATGATTGATTGTTTTCCATGTCACTTGTGCACCCAAGCTCCCACTTGTGATCTCCGTACTTTAGCATTAAATGCAGCTTTCCACTTGAGTGAATCCCCGATCGGCATTAAGATCCACTAACCTAATGATCCAGAAGAAAACTAATTATCCAAGTGTTAATTATACTCCGTTCGGGATGTGTCGAACAAAAGTTTCTCTTAAGCCACCGAACTCTCGTTCGGGGCCATCTGTTTCCCTTTGGGCTTTTCCCCTGCTTTTGGGCCCTAGGGATATTTTGGGCCGGTATATTGGGCCGGACCCTAATATCCCATCAACATTTATATCTTTTCAAAAAAACATTATGTTTATATCTATTTCAATTAAATTATTGTATGATATCTCTATTTCTGAACTTGCTAGACGCTAGTGGTGGTTGAGGGGTGAGTATATATGAGTTCTAACAATATAGTTACGTTTGAATAATAGAATTGCGCTAAGTAGGACTAAAACATAGACAAAGTATATAAATATTACGGAGTAATTATGTTTTATTCTTAAAATATGACTTATTTGTTTATATAATGTATATAACTTGTCTAATTATAAATGAATGAATCCTATTTTAAAAGAAAACTCAGAGATAAAAATGTGATTAAAGTATAAATGAGCAGCTTTTATTTATAAAAACTCGATTAGTCTTTTAAGGATAATTCTTAAACTTGAATTTAATTAAGGAAAGTCCAAACCTTTTTCTTGTGAAATCTTTTTTGTCAACCCGATTCATAAACAATATTTTATTTGTATAAAATATTGTCCGTGAACAAAACTTTGACAAACATAAATAGATAAAAAAGTGGGTATAAGATCGAACATAAATGTCATTTTTGTTAAATAAATTAATCATCCCCAGATCGACTGCCATTGCTTGATTGATGGCGAAGGAATTCAACGTCCCGCCGGTGGTATTCCCGTCAGGCGGGAATCCTGGCCCACAACAAAGGCGACTTCCGACGGCCCCATTCCAGCCACCCAAGGCGTCGACGCCCAGCATCCCATTCATGTCCTTCGACATCGGCTCAGCCGCCGCGGCCGCCTCAACCTCGTTTTCCGCTCCCCAGTTCGCTTCCACCACTATCGGCGGCGGCGCCACTGGTTTCGAGGATGAACCGCCACTTCTGGAGGAGCTGGGAATCAACACCAAGCAAATTTACCAGAAAACCCTCTCAATCCTGAACCCGATCCGCGTCAAAGCGTATCTTCACGAGGACGCTGATCTGTCGGGGCCATTCCTGTTCCTGATGGCCTTCGGCCTCTTCCAACTGCTTGCAGGAAAGCTCCATTTTGGGATCTTACTGGGCTGGGTGATCATGGCTTCTTCATTTCTGTACGTGGTGTTCAACATGCTGGCCGGGCGAAACGGGGATTTGGATCTGTACAGGTGCGTGAGCTTGATCGGGTATTGTATGTTGCCCATAGTGATCTTATCAGCCGTCTCTCTGTTCTTGCCGGTAGGGATGGTGATCAATGTTGTAGCTGGGGTGTTTGTGTTATGGTCTACAAGAGTTTGCACTAAGCTTCTGGTTGAGTTGGCTTCTTGTGGGGATGAACACCGTGGCCTCATTGCTTATGCTTGCTTCTTGATTTACACTTTTTTCTCTTTGCTAGTCATCTTTTGATCTCAAACATAAGTTTTGATTCTTGCAAACCTTGTTTCTTTGTTACACTCAAAGATTAGTTAGTTTACATGTATTTGTTATTCTTTGAATGCCCTAGTGGAATCCAAACTTTTTGACATTTTGGATATCAATTTAGGGGTAAACTGTGCAGTTTGGGAATATCATAAGTTTCCACTTGACAGTAATAACATTATTCTGTCTTCTGTTTGCCATCAGGTCTATTTTTTTGTTTCTTACCAGTGAAGTATTTTTCTTAGTATTTGTTTGATGCTGATAAACAAAAACATTATTTCAAACTTTCAATATCTTTTTGGATTAAATCTAAGTCTTCATGTAGTATCAAAATCAGATCTAGTTATGACTTGATTGTTTGTTTGAACATGGGGGTTGTTTATGAATATATCCACTTTCAAGTTATATATCGATATGATCGTACTCCTTTTTTAGTAATCTTACTCCTTACTATTCAAGCAAATAAACAAACTACGCTTTCATTTTCGACCCTATATCAAGGCAGCTATGCAACGAAAACCCCATATGATCTCCATCTTTCCAAACCAAACACCATATGTATGAGTCATGTGTTTATTGTTGCTTCCTGGCGAATATATATAGCCCGCCCATCTTTCAAAACAATTTTACTCAAAATCATACCGATAGCTTTTGCCAAGTGCTAACCGTGAGATGGTGATGAGCCGATCTACCGATCAATTCGAGTGTGAACCAGTGAGAATTTGGGTGGCTGCCGAAGGCTTGCCATTTGATTTGCCTTAGGAATGAGAAGCTTGTAGTCTTGCAGTCCACAGAGGGTTAATTGCATGGCTGCCTCTCTCCTCCGATTACAATTTGGTGATTCCTTCCTCAACATAATTAATAAAATAAATAAACTTAATGAGGAGTTACTCGAAAACTAGTTAAATGATCTCGTATATTAAGGATGTTTTTACTTGGACTGTAATTCTTCCCAGACCAGATCAGACCAGACCATATCAGACTTGGATAGTTATAAAAATACAAAGAAATCAGACCAGATCAGACCAGCAAATTACAATCCAAGTAAAAACATCCTAAGTTCAATCAATTCAGCCAAATAAATAACTCTCAATGTTAGTTCTTTTGATATTATATAATTCAGCGCACGAAATAAAAAATTATATACGTTGTATTTGATAAAAAAATTACTCCAGTTGATAAAATTGATAAATTAAAAATAGGGAAAATAAAAAACTTTGTTAACCTTTATGTTTACCAAACATACTCTTAATTTTCCTTGTTTATGTTTACTCTTTATTTTAAATAAATTGTGTTCGGAAAAGGGTGTACCAATAGAAAACTCCTTAAATAAATACTCCCTCCTTCCCATTTAAAGGTTCCCATCCACTATTCTCCGGTCAACGTGCATTGTTCTTAATCTTTCACTTTATATATCCAAATTTTATCAAATTTAATTTTTCTTGATCAGCTTTGTAGCGCTTTTAATGTAGTTTCTGAATATGTAAATTTTATTTACTAAAAATAATCTTATTATTGACAGAGATAAATTAACTTTATGGTCGGTCAAACATCTTAAATCACTTTGGGGTGGAGGGAGTATTTCAAAATCAATTGGAGCTGAAATATTCAAAGTTAGGCAGTTGGCTTCTCCATCTACCAACCAATCCTCCCCTTACGTTGATACGAAGTATATGATAAGTATACAAAATGAGCCTTTAAGGAAAAAGTGGAGTTTTAAGGCAGCAATCTCTGCCTCTGTGGGTCTGGAACTGATCATCTGGTATCAGAAACTTAGGGTTCAAAATGAAGTCAACTATGGTTAAGGCAAGCATAGTTGTGTTGGTGGTAGGAGGGATTTTGGGATGGGCGTATCAGTCACTGAATCCACCGCCACCCAAGATCTGCGGTTCTCCCGGGGGGCCACCAATCACAGGGCCAAGAATCAAGCTCAGGGATGGCAGGTTCTTAGCTTACAAGGAGCATGGTGCACCCAAGCACACCGCCAAGTTCAAGGTCATCCTTGTTCATGGCTTTGGCTCTTGCAGGCATGAGGCATCCATTGCTGCCTCGGTAAATAAAGCTTATACATGGTTGAATGTTTTTATTTTATCATCATAATAATAGTATTTGCATTTAATAAAGAGATTCTTTCGAAAAGTATTATTTAAACAAAGCTTATGGATAAAAAGTCAAAAGCTTTACTGAATTTACTAAAAGTTACTCCCTATTATAATACTCCCTATTTTCCGGAAAAAATGTCCTATTTTCCCAAAATGGAAGTCCCTAAATTAATATCTTATTTGGTAAACAAATCTACATCAAACAAGGTCAAACAATGCAAAACAATGTCAAACAGTGTAGCTATAATGCCAAATAGTGTTGCTACAGTGTGAAGTAAAATTCAAATCCTTAATTTGTGTGAAGTCAAAGTATGATATTCTTTTGGGGGCGGAGGGAGTAATAATTTTGTAAAAATCACATTTTTAAACCTATCATCTTACTTCGATCGGTTTTAATATAAATTTCCTTTTTCCTGTAAAAACCCTATCATCTTTCTTTTGGATTTGGATCTCTGCCGCACGGCAGAGGTGTCTTGAGGCAATCCAAAGACAAGCAATAGAGAAGAAGAGAGCTGCTGAAGAGGGAGAGTGAATCGCTTGGCTGTCAAAGCCAGGCAGAGAATCCCGATCCAAAATTATACTCATTATTTTTAAAATTATATTTCATACTTCCTATTCCAAAATGATTTGTAAATTTTACTTTTCATGGTTAACACGATTTAATTTTATTTACTTATTAAGTACTCCTTAGAGCATCTCCAATATCTCCGATGCTAATACGTTAACGGTGCATACGTGCCATGAAAGATAGCCAATTAAAAAACAATAATTAAAATGTCTCTCCTTATATGAATGATCTAATATCATTTTGGTAAGTTTTTTGTTCACAATGTCAAACACAATGTCTAGATGTAGGCATTGTGGTTGACATTGCAGAGAAAAACTTATCAAAAACACATAAGACCGTGAAAAGAAAAGACAGAGAGAGAAATGTCATAAGATCAATCTTTTGTGTCTATCTCTCTCATGCCACATGTGCACTGTGCACATTGTAGCATTGGAGATGCTCTTATGATATATGAATATATGAATTTTGTATTTTATTTTAATTTAAATTTTACAACTTTATAGAGCTATCAGGTAATTTGACTTGGTGTAATCGATTTATTATTTGCAGGGAAGATTTAACTTTTTTTGTGAATCATCAGCGAGTCAATCAACTTGAAAGACTGTGGATTTTAAATCAAAATCCAAATTAATTGTAAACTATCCAATTTTTGTGTCCTAAAATAATTACCAGCCCTTTTCATTGTTCTTTTTATCATCCCTTTCCAAATAATCTTCTGTTGAGTCAGAATTGGCTAGTACTACCCTTTCTTCCTTTCCTATTCATTTAAAAAAATCGTGATTTATGTTATTTCTTTAGTATAGACAAATTTTAAACCCACACAGTTTCTAAGTTATCAAAAATTGCGTATATTTTTACTAATCTTCAGTTATCTTCCAAATTTGGACATACTTTCTATACACCTTCTTTGTCTGTTCATTCCTTCAAGATGGAACTTGTTAGAACAGATTAGTTTTGAAGTTTGTGGGCTTGTGTTTTTTAGGCTTGTGAGGATCAAACTATTTATGAGCTTAATTGACATTTGACTTTGATATCATTTTAATTCGAAGTTCATAGTAAAAAGTTATTTTAGCTCAGTACCCATATATCTTCTCTATCGACAACGCCTTTGTCACTTTCTTTTAGGTGAACTCCAAGGAGAATGAGCTCTGATATATGCATACTTTTTTGCTTTAGAAAGCCGCTGAGGAATTGGAGGTGTACTTTGTGTCTTTCGACAGGCCAGGATATGGAGAGAGTGATCCTGACCCGAACCGTACCATAAGAAGTACTGCTCTGGATATAGAAGAGCTTGGTGATCAATTGGGACTTGGATCCAAATTTTATGTGTTGGGGTTCTCCATGGGTGGGCAGGTTGTTTGGGGATGCTTGAAGTACATCCCTCACAGGTAGATTGACATTATGTTGTACGGAGTAATAAATTTAATGAACAATTACCATTACACTATGACTAAATTAAAACAAACCACCAACAACAACATTACCCTAGTGCCCCAAAGGCACCTTGGTGGGGTAAGAGTGTCAGATATACACAATCTTCCCCCTGTAATACATCACAAAGAGACTGTTTCCGGATAACTAAATTGAAACAATGGATGGATGAAATTAGCTGCAAATGAGTCCCACACACACATAATGTAATGTTCAAGTCAGTTTCCAGTAAGATTCTAGTGAGACTCATTTTGTTTTTAGCAGAAAATGAGTTCAACAATCACTATTTATTAGCTCTTTGGCATTAAGTACTAATTTTGACTGTCAGATCATGTCATATGTAAGTTTTACCTAGAATAATTGTATTTTTAATCTTGAATTAATATTAACTGTAATATGAGTTATAAAAGTAACAAAGTGAGTATTGGCGGGTATTTCTGAACAAACATAATATCTGTCAGTTAAAAATTATAGTTGGTACTAATGAACAAAAAAGTTGAATGATTAAACAGCTAAAATAGACTTTGAAGTTCCACCAGTAAGTACTAATTTGAGCATTTCCCTGGTGGTGCACTAATAAAATACTGATGTTAGAGTTCCCCAAATTTGTGAATGAAGTGGTATAACCATTATTCATCTATCACTGCAAACATCCTTCTCACTGAAATCACTAGACACACGTAGTAGATGCCTACTAAATGCTGGAAATGTGGTGGTTTGGCAGGCTAGCAGGAGCAGGACTAAGTGCACCAGTGGTGAATTACTGGTGGGCGGGATTTCCAGCGAATATATCAGCAGAAGCATACCGTAAGGAGTACCCGGAAGACCAGTGGGCAATTTGGGTAGCACACCACGCCCCTTGGCTTGTGTACTGGTGGAACACCCAAACCTGGTTTCCCTACTCTAGTGTCATTGCTGGAAAACACAAGATATCTCCCCGAGACCGGGAAGTCATAACCAACCTTTTCCGGTTGAAAAAAAATTACAAGGTATGCCTTGAGTATCCCCACATATATATGTTTTCTACTATGTTTTGATTACATGGTGTTCCTAAACCTATAAATGCATTCTTCTCGTGCACTAACAAGTAGAATCAGATTTTGGATAAAGCTTGAGAATTAATTTAACACCTTAACTGCTACTCATAATTTTGACAAGTTAGAGACTTTCTCAAAAACTGATCCAACTCTTGTGCGCTAATTCCTAAAACAATGATAGACAACGATAATATCAATAGTAAACACAATAGAAAGGTAAGGAAGATCATCGTAAGCTTTATTATTCAACTGAACCGATCACAGGGATTCAGTGCTCAGGGGCGGTTTCGAGAGGCCCAATCTCCAAGGTTCTGACATCCAACAAAATAACAGCCTGCATTTATTATCTCCTAGCATACCATTTATAGTAAAAGTGTCCACGCAGGGACAAAAGTGAATAACTAACTCAGAAGCTAATTACTGAATAGTCCTTCCCTTCTTTCTTTGATAGACCTTTTCAAAATATTTAATAGGCTGCTGAGCTGGCTGCCTATCAATACTCCCTCCCTGCAAATTCACCTTGTCCTCAAGGTGAAACTCTGGGAACATTTCCTTCATCACCTGTACCTCTTCCCAAGAATCTCCAAACTTTGGTAGATCCTTCCAATGTATGAGAACCTCCTTTCTTCCCTCCTGATTTCTTCTGATCTCTACAACTTCCTCTGGTATCACTTGCAGTTCTAATTCTTCATTGAGGCATTTGGGCAGGTTCTGGACCACAGTAGTAGGGGCTAATGCTTTCTTTAATAAAGAAACATGGAAGACTGGATGTATTCGGCTATCTTCTGGAAGTTTCAGCTTATAAGCTACAGGTCCAATTCTTTCAAGAATCTGAAAAGGACCATAAAACCTGGGGCTGAGCTTCTGATTTATCCTTTTGGCCAGACTTTTAAGTTTGTAGGGTTGTATCTTTAGATAAACCAGATCACCTTCTGCCAACTCTATCTCCCTCCTGTGCTTATTTGCTTGCTGCTGCATCAAATTTTGAGCTTGAGCTAGGTTCCCTTTTAACTCCTCCAACATGGCATTCCTTCTGGCAGTCAATTGGGACACCTCTTCCACAGCAGTTGCAGTCACATCCCCCCTGATGACTGCAGGAGGGTCCTGCCCAAACAAGGCTTTGTAAGGGGTCAGTTTCAGGGAAGAATGGTAATTAGTGTTATACCAAAACCTTGCCCAATGTAGCCAACGAACCCACTGCTTAGGTTTCCTCCCGGTAATGCATCTCAAGTATGTTTCTAGGCAACGGTTGACCACCTCAGTTTGCCCGTCTGTCTGGGGATGGTAGGTTGTGCTGAATTTGAGCTGGGTACCTGCCAATTTGAAAAGCTCTGACCAGAAGGAGCTCATGAACACACTATCCCTATCACTCACAATAGATTTAGGAAACCCATGTATTTTAACCACTTCTTTTGTGAATAAATCTGCAACTTGCTTAGCATTGTAGGGATGAGATAGAGCTAAAAAGTGTGCATATTTAGTCAATCTGTCCACCACAACTAAGTGTATCCTTACCCTGAGATTTGGGCAGTCCCCCTATGAAATCCATGCTGATATTTGTCCAAATACTGCTAGGAATGGGTAGGGGTTGTAGCAAACCAGATGGTCTTAAGGCTTGATATTTATTGGTTTGACAAATGGTACACCTCTCCACAAACTTCTTAATGTCAGTCTTCATCCCATGCCAATAAAACAGGTTTGTTATCCTCTTCATAGTTCTAAAGTACCCAGAATGACCACCCACTGAAGAATCATGATATTCTTGTAAGACCTTGAGTACTCTAGGAGACTGCCTGGGCAACACCAACTTCTTTTGATAGTACAATAACCCCTTTATTATCTGAAAGTCTGGATGCAAGTCAGGTTTAGAAATAACCTTCTGTATTAGCTCATGACATTTGGGATCAGACTGTAACTCCTCCTCCAGCCCTTCCCACTCTTGGCAGATAACAATGGAGAGTGAATGAAGGATAGGTCTTCTAGATAAAGCATCTGCAGCTTTATTTTCAATCCCAGGTTTATACTTGATGATAAAGTTGTATCCTAGCAGTTTAGAGGTCCACTTCTGCTGCTCCTCTCCCATAATTCTTTGCTCAGCTAAAAGCCTCAAACTCTTTTGGTCTGTATGTATCTCAAAAGCCCTTCCCAATAAATAAGATCTCCACTTCTGTACAGCTAGAACAACAGCCATGAGCTCTCTTTCATAGACCGACTTACATTGATTTTTCTTGGATAGTTCCTTGCTCATATATGCAATGGGCCTTCCTTCCTGCATTAGGACTGCCCCTAACCCAGTCTTTGAAGCATCAGTCTCCAGTATGAATAACTTGTTGAAATCTAGTACTGCTAGCACAGGAATTGAGGTCATTGCTAGCTTCAGTTCTGCAAAGGCTGAAGAGGCTTTGGAATCCCAGTGGAAACTGTCCTTTTTGCACAATTGAGTAAGAGGTAATGCCAGTTTACCATACCCCTTCACAAACTTCCTATAATAACCAGTCAGCCCAAGAAATCCTCTCAAACCTTTCAGATCCTTAGGTTCTGGCCAACTGAGCATGGCTTCTATTTTTGTAGGATCAGCCGCTACTCCTTGTCCAGATATAATATGACCCAAGTATACCAATTGGGATCTTCCAAATGAGCACTTCTTGAGATTAATCACCAACTGGTTTTCCTTTAAAACAGTTAACACTTCTCTAAGGTGTAGGATATGTTCCTCTCTAGATTTGCTGTACACTAGGATGTCATCAAAGAAGACTAAGGCAAACCTTCTCAAAAAGGGCCTCAATACTTGATTCATTAGAGCCTTAAAAGTGGAGGGGGCATTAGTCAACCCAAAGGGCATTACCAAGTATTCATAATGCCCTTCATGGGTTCTAAAAGCAGTCTTCTGTCTATCCGTCTCCTTCATCCTGATTTGGTGGTATCCAGACTTGAGATCTAGCTTTGAAAAGATTGTTGCACCTCCCAGTTCATCTAACAGCTCTTCAATAATGGGTATGGGGAATTTGTCAGGAATAGTAATCTGATTTAGGGCCCTATAGTCTCTACAAAACCTCCACCTCCCATCTTTTTTCTTTGCTAGTAATATAGGGCTACTATAGGGGCTGTTACTGTGTTGAATGATCCCCGACTGCAACATCTCTTTGATTATCTTCTCTATCTCATATTCTCATTTTTTTGATATTGGGGATACCTGTAAGGTCTAATGTTGGGTATAGTAGCTCCCTCCTTTATATTGATAGCATGATCACATGCTCTTGGTGGTGGTAACCCTTGTAATGGCTGGATTACCTCTTGAAAATCTGCCAATAATTCTGTCCACCCCTGATCATTCTGGTGCTCTTCTTTCTCTTCTGTTAGGATGCCTTCACATAGGATAAGATACCCATCTCCATTGTCCTGGATGATCTTGGTCATAGTCTGAAGTGAGACTTCAATGGAATTGAGCTGGGAGTCCCCTAGGATGGGTCGTTTGACCCCCAACAATTGACATGTAATGGATTGCTTATGGAAATTAACTTCTACATCTCCCAGGGTAGTCAGCCATTCCATGCCAAGAACCAAATCAGTCCCCCCTAATTTAAATACATAGAAATTCTGGTAAATAATAGTGTCCTGCAACGTAAGGCTCAATCCTTCACATCTGCAGTTATTGGAAATCTTGTCACCATTCCCTATCTGGACCCTGTACCCAGAGATAATCTGACAGGGAATGCCCAATTGTTCTACCAGTTTTTGTGATATGAAGTTATGGGTAGCCCCACTATCAATCAATGCCTCCACTGGAAATTCCCCTTGGCTCCATGTCAGACTGCCCCTCACCTTGAAGGCCCTCATGGAAGGTATCCCTTCCTTGCTCATCACAGATAGTGATTTCCTCTTCTTCAGCTAATTCAGGTTCTGCTGATTCTGGCTCCACCTCTTCATCAGAATCTTCTACTAATATGGGTTTGAAATTTTTTAGCTTACAGGTGTGTTCCCTGCTCCACTTCTCTCCACATTTGAAACATAGCCCTTTCCTACTCCTGTCTTGGTATTCCTCTTGAGAGAGTTGTGGCCCTACACGCTTGATACCTGAAGGGTTCATTTCAGTCACCCTTGTCCCTGAAGGAGTGTACCAAAGTTGTTTCCCCTTATTATCTGCAGTATTTTTTCCTCCATTGTTTGGCCAAGGGTGTCCACTTTTCGCCTTGAATCCTTCTCCCCACAGTGGGGATTTAAGATTAAAAGTGCCCTTATCCCTCCACTGGGCCCTATCTTCCACCTTATTCTTCAATTAAACTGCATCATTCCTTTGTTCAATCAACAATGCCCTATCCATGATGGCAGATAAGGATTTGGAATTATACGGTTTAAGTTCAGTTTTAAAATCCTCCTTGAGACCATTGATGAAAATGCCTCGTAAAATACCTCTGTCCACATCTCTCTGGGAAGCTATAACCATTTCAAACTCGTCCCTGACTCCCTGTAATCCTTCACAGTACCCGTTAGTTTCAGACTCAGCATAGGCCCGTACGGATTTTGTATTAGATCCGGTTGAAACCTACGGATCACAGCATCCTTCAGATTTTCCCAGGTTCTCTCGGATTCTCTCTTCCGCCTGGTGATCCCACCACTGAAACCAGTTCAAAGCGCGATCCTCCATGGCCACCACTGAAACTTCTACCTTGTCCTCGTCATCTATTTGGTTCAATCTGTAGTATCGCTCCATCCTTACAATCCAGTTGTAAGCTCCTTCTCCGTTAGATCTACCTTCCTGCCCGTATGAATATGACGAGTAGGGGTGGGAGAATGAACAGAATTACCTCTCGACGGCGGTGAGCTATGTGGTGATCGCGACTGTTGGCGGTGCTGTGATCGTGATCTCCCATGTGACCGAACATGAAGGTTTTGAATCTGTTCGCTCATAGCTGCCATCGAAGCTGCGAAATTCCTCTGCATCTGTTCATTCATCGCTGTGAGGTTTGTCATTCCCGTTTTCATTTCCAGCTCCAACGTATTGATTCGATTCTCCATTTTTGACCTCGTTCTGACCATACACCACTGTCACGAAGTTAAACTGCGTCGCAAATAGATTTCCGATTCCCAGGAGCTAGTGCTCTGATACCATTGATAGACAACGATAATATCAATAGTAAACACAATAGAAAGGCAAGGAAGATGATCGTAAGCTTTATTATTCAACTGAACCGATCACAGGGATACAGTGCTCATGGGCGGTTTCGAGAGGCCCAATCTCCAAGGTTCTGACATCCAACAAAATAACAGCCTACATTTATTATCTCCTAGCATACTATTTATAGTAAAAGTGTCCACGCAGGGACAAAAGTGAATAACTAACTCAGAAGCTAATTACTGAATAGTCCTTCCCTTCTTTCTTTGATAGACCTTTTCAAAATATTTAATAGGCTGCTGAGCTGGCTGCCTATCAAACAACCTCGTTTAGGTTTTTTAATAGGAAATCGCCATACTTATTTGTTCAAAAGATAGTTTGCCAAACCGCTTACAATATAATCAGGAGGAATATAAAACTATCATCACAACCACACATGGAAACAACTGGTCTAGCTAAACCATGAGCAACTTGAAGTAGGATGCAGTTTAACAAAATTTATTGAACGTTAGAAACTCATGACCTCTCCTAATCCTCCTATAAACAAAAGAGAGGTGTGTTACCACTGTGGCTTGATTTGGATACAGGAATATGCAATACAACAAGGAAGGTTCGAGTCCATCCATCAGGACATGATTGTTGGTTTTGGGAAATGGGAATTTGATCCAATGGGTCTAAGTAACCCTTTCCCCGACGGGGAAGGCTCTGTTCATCTGTGGCATGGTGATGAAGATGGGCTCGTGCCGGTCACACTGCAGCGTTACATTGCCGGAAAACTCCCGTGGATAAAGTATCACGAAGTTCCACAAGGCGGGCATCTGTTTCCTTTTGAAGAGGGTATGAAAGAAGCTATTCTTAAGACACTCTTGACAGGAGAGAAGTGAGATCAAACAGTAGTTATATCTATATCTCTATGCAATGCCTGTTATGTATGTATATAGATCCATCTGTCCCCATTTAAAGTTGTATTCATTTTAGGAAAGTTCCTAATTTGTTTCCTTATTACGGAGTATTTGATACAATATCATCTCTTAAAACTAATGCCCCCAAATAACATAAATTATGTAGTGCCAAACAATGGCAAACAATACACTTTACAATTAATATTTACTTTGAGCAAAAACAGATATTTCTGGGAGTCTATTTTCTTGAACTCCATTTGGAGCTTTCTTAATGGATTGAGGAAGTATATAAAAAGTAATACGGAGTACAAAATGACAATACTTCACTTGGTATATGTGAGCTAGCTTCATAGTTGGTACTTGGTACCTAGGCTTGGGTTGGAGCCCTGTCCCTGAATGTAATCCCAATTCCCAAACAATAAATGCAGAACACACTCAAATATCATTTACTAATCTTTTTGTGTTTTTGGATGAAATCATTTACTAATCTTAAGAAACACATTTTAAAATTAAAATACTAATCATGAAACAATGAAGTTGTTAGGACTAGAGTTTCTATAAACCAAGTAGACAACTAACTAGTGAGGAGCAAACTTCTTTCTCAACCTATCAACCTCCTTATCACTGAATCCAAAAGCCTTCATCAGCACCTCCTCTCTTATAGAACTTCCAAACACAGCACTAGGGATCTTTACTAACCCCGGGTTCTGGCTGTTGAAACTCCCCAGTATAGTAGCAGGTGAATCCCCAACGTTCATCTGAAAGTGAACTAATCCCCTCGGGAACACCATTACCTCTCCTCTCTCCAACACTCTCGCAAAAATCCTATTTGATGAATCGACAAACCCTGCATAGATCCTCCCCTCTAACACAAACGTCGTCTCAGTGGCCCTGGGATGCAAATGTGGCACATTTACCCCTCCAGCATCAAAATCAGCCCGAACAAATGACATGCCTAGAGTGTGTAGGCCTGGAAAAACCCCTGAGTTCACGGGGTTAGATGCAAAACCGGTCTGCTTAAAGTCTCCCGGGTTTCTTATGCCTGAATAGACGAAGTCTTCAACAGTGACTAAGGTCGAGTTCTTGCAAGATGGGAAGACCGATGAGAATTCGGGAATTGGGATGCAGTAGTCATGGAGAGGATCGGGATCAGATGCCAAGACTATGTGGATATGAAGGAGAAGAGATAGGAAAATTGTTGTTTTCTTGATCATGGTGGTTACTAGTTGTTCTCTCTATGACTCAAGAATGGCCGGGTGAAGATGGGTATTTATTAAGCAACTAATTATGATCTTAGCCACCAAACATGAAACTACATGCATTTTGCTTGCAGGTTATTGGTCTTAAGCGAAGAGTTGGTGATTACTTCTTCTTGCACTAACTTTGAAGTTGTTGGGAATATATATTTAATTTGTAGTGTTACACATTGAATGAAAGCAAAAGAATTCTTTCGTATATATTTGCAAATCATGTACTGTGCATTGCAAGTAAAGTTCTTTGCTTGTTAGTAGAGATACTATCATGATCCACACCTTATCTTAATTCATAAACTAGTATTAACAGTGGGCAATGCCATCCTCATTCTCATGTTAACTATGTGTTAACAGCGGGTCATACAACCTACTGACCTAGACATAGACCCGGTCCGGTCCTTGCCAAAAAATGGGAGACCCAGGACCGACCCAATATAATGAAGTCCGAACGGGGTCGGATAGACTGGCCGGTCCGATCTTGATTTCATATAAAAAATGAAAAAACAAAATATTGATCGTTGGGGGACTGGATAGGACCCGATACCAACCTGTCCTGGTCAAAAAAATGCCACTCGTAACTTGTGTAAAGTAAAATAGACAACTTTTGATTACCATACAAAACCTTGATGTAAATTCACATTCCACATAAAATTGATTAAAAGTGAAATTTCTCAAAGTAAAAAATACGAAGTATTAAAATTGTTAAGGAGAATTGAAAGACAAAACATCTCAATGAAAAAGGTAAACTACCATTCCAATTCTAATTTCTATATCCTTACTTTTTAAATCTAATCTCCATAAAGTCCTTACCCCATAAAATTTGGTCAAATTTAATTTGCATGGGGAACAACAGAATAAAAAAAATAGTTGAGATTTGTGTAGATGAGAGAAAAAAACTTCACACATACTGACATACATTGTATTTGTTAATGCAAATGGAAATAATAATGTTATCAAAAATAATCAAATTAAGAAAGTTCACAAAGTTTTATGATACATGGGGAATATTTCAAAGATGTCCTCCCTTGAATTAAATTTTAGCTGGTTTGTTTAAGATATATAGTCTGATCCGATAAAGTTTGCTATAATATACTCCGTAATGTTTATTATTGTCTAACTCTAATTTGTTATTGTCAAAATAAAAACTCTAATTTGTTTATTTAGTGATCTTTTATATGACCTTTATAATATGATAAATTGACACTAGTGTAAGAGAAAACGGCTCTAAATTAAATATGTACTCCCTTGAACAAAATTGATTCTTTATTATATTTGCATATTTATTTCATTTACTGATGCACTATATTCAATTATTCATCAAAATAAAAACATACTCCCTCCGGTCCTTATTAAAGTTCCCAGTTTGACTTCACACAGATTAAGAAAAATAAATTTTATTTTACTGTGGAGTGCATTGTTTGACACTGTTTGGACATTGTTTGACACTGTTTTGCACTGTTTTGTTTCCTACAATGGAAGTATGAGCTTAAATAAGGGACATCCCCAAAAGGAAAACGAGAACTTTAATACGGACCGGACCGGAGGGAGTAACAAATTGACAAATTGTGTATGAGAGGGTAGTGGAGTACTCCAAAAAAGTTAAAAAAAAATGGAATAGGGTTGAATTATGAATGATTAATTGGGCCCGAATCATATTTATTCCCTTAGATTTTGGAGCCATACATCCAAAATTTGAATTCAAATACAAACCCCCTTCACTCTCCAACCAACCGTCAGCCGCCTCTGCCTAAACAAAAACTCTTGCAAACCCTAGACCTCTGTAAAATCTCTCATTATCCTTTCATTTCCCGTTCAAACGCCGGTGAGTCGCCATGGCCAAGAAGAAGATCGCCCCTCGCAAAGAGGAGGACCACGTTGACTCTCAGCTGCCTGTCGCGACAGACAATGGGTTCGGGAAGCTGGAGAATCTCAGGGACCTTAACAAAGTGCTTCTCAAGGAGACAGCCGAGAAGAGACATCTGGTTGACACTCTCCAGAAGGAGAAGTTCTCTTTGGAATCGGAGCTGGCTAGAGCCCAGTCAGAGAAGCTGTCTGTGAGTGCAGAGTTGGCTCGTTTGGGTGATAGTGCAGCGCGGCTGGAGCTCGAGAAGACGTTGGAAGGTGTGTTTATCCGTGCCCAGATGGTTCACCTGATGAATGCGATGGAGGAGGAGAGTGAAGGGATGAGGAAAGAAAGGGATGATGCTGGTGAAAGAGTGAAGGGTTTAAAGAGAGATATCGATCTCATTGTGAAGGAGAAGAGTGCGATTGAGAAGATGATAGGAGAGAGGGAGTTCGAAATTGAGTCCTTGCAGCATAGACTGAAAATTCAAAATGCTGAAATGGATGCAGAGAGGAACATTTCTATTCAAATAAATCGCCAGAAGGATGAATTGACGTCAAAACTTGATGTTCAAATCTCCGAGACCAATGCATTGAGAAATAATCTGATTGAAGTAGAGAGGAGAGAGAGGGACCTCCTTCACCGTGCTGATGAATTATGGGCTGAATGCAATACTCTGTTTAATGAAAAAGAACAGAAAGAGAGGATGTTGCACTCTGTTATGAGTGAGAAGGAAATGCTGGAAAGGGGCTTGGTTGATTCAAATCGGGTTGTAGATGAACTTAATGGAAAAATTGGGGAGATTGTGAGGGAGAAAATGGCCAGTGAAGAGGAGAGATATGTTGAAATGAAGAAAAGGTGTGAATCGGAAAATGAAGTGAATGTACTCAATGTGAAGCTTTTGAGCTTGCACAACATTGAGGATAAATTGAGAGAAAATGTTATCCAGTTGGAGATGAAGTTTGAAGAAAGTGTAGAGAAGGGGAAAGATATGGAGAGGAAAATAAGTGAACTGATGGAAGGGAAGATCGAGAGTGAGAGTAAGATCTCTATGCTGCTTGGGGAGAAGGATTTGATTGAGAAGAGATTGACAGATGCATTACAGCAAGTAGAGGAGAAGAAACAGTGTCTTGAGAAGGTAGTTCGTGAGAAAGGGGAAATGGAAGACGCAAGGATTAGAGCAGAAGCTGTGATTGTTAAATTGCAGCACCAAATGGCTGAACTTAAGGATGATCTTTCTGGGTTGGAGGAGTGTTGCAAGGTTCAAGAAGAGAAAATGGCTGAATTGGTAGTCGAAGTTGGGAGCTACAAATCTGCATATGAGAGAGCATTGCTTGAAAGGGATAGTGCAACAAAGGGACTTGATATAGAAAAACAGAAAGGTTTTATAATGGAGGAGAAGATTCAGGAACTGGAGAATCGCATTGATGAAGTTTCTCTGGAGCTTGCCAATACTGAGGCTGATTATGCCAAGGCAGTTGAAGGGAAGAAAGTGCTGGAAATCAAATCTGGAACTCTTAACAATGAGATTCTCTCTCTCCAAGCCCAACTTGCTGAAGCAAGGAAGGATCTCATCTCGAAACAGACTAATCTACAATTAGCAAACACAGGCTTAGAGGGTGTTCTGAAGATGTTGAAGATCACAGCAATGTGGGTTGGTGGATCATTGAGAGACGACAACATGGACAGCATTTATGCTGAGCATTTCAATGAAAGTCAAATTAGTCCCCATATGTTTGAATTGGAAGCGATTAAGAAAGGCTTTGAGGCTAGAGAGATCAAAGTTGAGGAAATGAAGAGGGAAGTTGAGTCCCTGAAGAGCTCTGTTAAGCAAGCAAACAAAAAAAGGAGTTTGTGGGCCATTTTCTCTTCGGCAACTACAATTTTCGCCGCTATCTCTCTAGCATACGTTGCAAGGGCTCATTGAACTAAGGGGTTTGGCATCATCTTTATTTTTTATTACACTACTATTAGTCTGGTTATCTTGTACTACGTAATTGTCTATCTATTCATTTTCAGAAATTGTGTTCTTTCTAAGAACCCTTTATTATCCTTGTTTGGAATGTAAAGGTGTGTATGACAGAGACTAATATAGCTAAGGAGTCTCTTCATTTGCCTAAAAAGGCTCTTCAAGTTGAGTATTATATATTTAGTTTCAAGATTCGAATATCATCTATTTTTGTCAGGTTTTGGGCTTGAATTTAATTTTCCCATCTACAATTTAATGAGTTTTTAATTCCACCAAACCTGCAAGTAAATATTTTATAAGCTTTTCCCTACATTTACTAGAGTTTAACTTAACTGGAATTATAAGCAATCTCAATCATACATTTGCTAAAGTCACTTTTTGGTCCATTTTGGAGCCACAAGAAGCCTCTCTGTTTAGTTGCTATCTCTAGATTCTCTTCATCACTCTCCATGGAGTGGACAATACGTTTTAGAAGCTCCATGAATGTGAAATGTCTATCAATTAGAAGAGTACCAGAGCTCAGTATTTTGTAAAAACTGAAATTCTGAGAGGTAAATGACATGGCATTGTTTGTGCCTTTGTGGGGATTAACTTTTGATCAACTTTGTGTTTTTGTTGAGGAAAGTTTGCATATCAAGGTAAAGCTAAATTGGAATCTTTGAAGAATAATGAGTTATTGGGTGATATTTAAATAAAGTAAGCTTTTGGAGACACTTAGTAATGTTGCTTTAGTATAAAGTATAAACATGATTGTTTGCAAACACATGACATTTGCTGCCATTGAATTTATATATTGTTGACTCAAGTCATTGAATAGCAGCCATGTCCTATTATTCTGTTGTGACTAATTTTTAAAGCCTACGAGAATTCTGCTTTTGAATTTTCCTATTACGCACACAAATACATATGAAAAAATTAAAAGTAGCTATAAAAATGACTTAAATGCTTGGTCTGCTGATTGATCAATTTGAAAGAAGTTACCAAATATGTGGAAGTAAATTGTTGTCTGCTCATATTTTTTTAGTTATTGCCACTTGATGATCATATATGCAGAGATGTTTTGTTCCATCTATGACTGCATTGAAATTTCATCAGGAAAAATATTTTCATCCATCTGCAATAACATTGCAATGGGATTTCCAACCTTGGAGCAAGGAGGGTTGCCAGGACACCAACCACCTGGGGTGAAGCTACCATTGCTTCTGTAAAGCAATCTCAGATCAATCTTATCC